ATGTTTTATTATTGTGACACCAGGTTCCCATAATGTTTCTGCTATTTAGGATAATAGTTCCCTGAATTCACAACCTATTACAAGGAACTTAAAAAACAAAAAGCCTGAGTATAGTCAAAGGAGAGGTTTTTGTCTTGTTTTTTTCCATGTGTTACAGCTGATCAAATGGAAAGCTGAGCTCTAGGGGCAGTGGGTACCAAGCCTCCTCTCATGACCAACCCCACTCAGCTATGTACCAACTGACGACTTTTCCCTGACTTTCTGATAGGCAAGCCCACCTACCTGATAGACAGCCTATGCTTGGATCCTATGCTGGTGTCTCAAACTGACACTGTCATAGTGAAATTGTCAAGCCCTACCCCAAATAGATCTTAAATCTACCCCATGCTCTCTACCCCTGCTATTTTCTTTTTCCAGAGCCCAGCCTCTCTCACATTCCTGGGCTTACAATAAGCCATTTAACTCATCACACTGGATAGCAATATCTTGAGGTTCTTTAACATTGTCTTCAGGGCACTCATACTGGGACTTGAGCCAACCACTCCAGCCTCAAATACAATGCTTTCTGTGGTTTCAGTTACCTGTGGATCATAATCCCAAAATACTAAAACTAAATTGAAAATATGGGAATAAGCAATTCACAAGTTACACACTGTTCTGAGTACCATGATAAAATTTTATTCTGTTTCACTCTGTCCTGCCCTGGACATGAACCAGCCCTGTACCTAGCATACCCATGCTATATACACTACCCACCCATCAGTCACCTGGTTATCTGACTATAGCAACGTCATGGTGCTTGTGTTCAATCAACTCTTATTTTACTTAATAATGGCCAAAAAGCATATGAATGGTGATTCAGAGGAGACACCAGGGCATAAGATGTGGAAGGACAGATTTGCTCTGGTGCTATATGGCAACACTACAGGGCATATAGGGGAAAAAAAAAAACAAGAAACAGTGTACAGAGCATTTGGTACTATTTGATTTTACAGGTATCCACTGGGGGTCCCTGGAACAACATATCCTACACTGACAATGAGCAGCTGCTATAGATATATTCCAGCATTATTAAATTAGCTGTCATTCTCTGCACATACACTACTTCTTACCTCCTTTGGTCCCCCTCTCTCCTTTGCAGAAATGGCTCCCAGTCCCCAAGCATACAGTGCCCAAGGTCTACTTCCCACCTTTTCATGACTTCTCCTTTACCTTATCCAATAAGGAGAGGTTGGATCTACTCCTTGTATTCCCCCCAAATACTTCAGGCATGAATTTCACCTGCTATGTTGAATTGCAATAGTCTTTTGCTATATCTATCTATCTACTTCAGTATGAGGTACTTAAGACTTAGGCTGGGTCTCTATTTTTGAATCCCTAGACATGGGCTCTCATACAAAAGACACTCCATAAATGTTTACAAACTTAATGTGCTCAGTAGCTCTAGCTCACCACCTCTGTCTTTATCGTCACCACAACATGGAAGGGTGAATATATTTGAAGCTAGGAAACAAATATTAAAAAGGCTACCTTTGGGTTTTCATTTCCATTAGCTGTCCAAATTCATGATAATTTGGAAATTAAATTGTTTCTGCTGTAAACATGACTTTTATTATCTTTGGTGTATCTTCCCTTAGAATATTTCCTCTCCCCGCCCCACAAAAAAAGAAGGAATAAGCAATTCACAAGTTACACACTGTATTAATGACCTTTTCATGAATTTATTTTGTTCCAGATTTGATTTTGATTTTTCCTTAACCTCATCAAACCAGAGAAGTGATAAGGACAAGAACTAAAATTTCCAAATTTTTGGACACTCTAATGAAGCTCCACATGATGTCAGGAAACTGCTGCCTCGTTTGTTTGTTTGGTTGGTTGGTTTTGAGTACTGTGCATTGAACCCAGGGACCATTTACCACTGAGCCATATGCAAGGCCTGTTGTTTTTAACTTTGAGACTGGGTTTTGCTAAGTTGCTGAGGCTGACCTCAGACTTGAGAATCTCCTGCCTCAGCCTTGGAGTTGCTGGGGTTGCAGGCGAGTGCCACCATGCCTGGCAACCATGACCTGCTACCTCTGTGAACAGAGCAATCTGAGAAGAGGGCTGTTTCCCTTCAGGTTAACCTTGGCTTTTTCTTTCACATCAATGATAATCAATTCTATTTTAAAACTGTAATTTTCACTCGAATGTCTGCCTTAATTGACCTTGAAACAAATTCAGCTCTGTTTTACTCTAGGGATAATATTCATAGATACTACAGGGCCAAAATTAATAGTGGGCCCACATTCGCTAACATGGGGTTTGTGTCTTCTTCTGCAAGCAGAGTCTTTCCACTATGAGGAAGCCTAAAGCTCTGTGGAACTGCCTCCAAAGCCAGAACCCAGGTGGAGGTTTAGTAACTAATTTCCACATCATGGTTCTAAATGATTAGGGCCTCTTTAGGGATAAGGAGAAACCCAGAGTAGAACTAGGAAGTACACACATAAACACAAGATGGATGTTTAGAGGGGTTCATTAACTATAAAATAAAAATGTAATTTTCTGAAGAAGTTGTGTTTTCATTTCTTACTGCTTGCCTTTGCTAACTCATGTGCTATTATTTTAGATATTATTCTATTAGTTATATGTGTAGTAATGAGGCTCTGACATTATACATCAGGGAATTTAAATATTTGATGACAAAAGTAAGTGATGAGGAAAAAAATACACACAGAGATTATATTTAAACAAACTTACGTGATTATTCATAAAATGATTTTTTTTAATCTAAAGAAGGAATGGTGGGGGCAACCTACTAGCAGGTTCCCTCTTTCCCCTCTGAGAGTTCTGTTTCTATTCTTCATAATTGAATAAATCCTGCTCCTTCCACTTTAAAAAGAAAAGTACTGTGGTGTACATATGATAAGAAATTTTGCAACATTCACATTTTTAAATGATTTTTATTATATTTGTCTCAATAAAAATCTACTACATTTTAATACTTTTACCTCTTCATTTCAAGTACTATTTGTAAGATGGAATATGTCCCATTGCTTTGGTTAAGCAAGTGCTCAAGTTAACCACTATCAGAATCTGAAAGTTGTGATTTTTAAAGTGATATAGAGTGAAATCAATAACTTTATATTGTTCTTTTCCATATATTTTGATTCCTCACTACTCCATAGGTACTATGAATTTTTTAGGCAGATACCTATCGTTTGCCTAAAGAGTAACATTGTGACAAGCGTGCTAAATCTTAACCTCTAAAATAGAAATAGATATTTAACAGAGAAGCACCAGTGGAAAGCAAAGAAGGGCATCTACACATAGAATTTTGAAAGCTGGTCAACCGTGCTCTCCTGAGATCATGTGCTGTGCCATAACAGCACACACCTAGGGCAGGCTCAGGGGTTTGCATTCTCCACTGGTTCCTGGCCCAGGCTCCACTTAGCCCTGCACTTACTTCTGCACACTGTGGATGCAGCGGGGCTCAGGCATGAACTGAAGGATGCTGATACGGACTAAGCATTGCAGATGTAGATATACATCACAGCCCAGCACAGAGGACATTTTGATTCATCTGACTTTCATTTCAGGGCATTCAGGTCTCCATTCATCAAAACAGCAAACAGTGAAAAAGTCAGTAAGATGCATTGTTTAGGGAAATGCTCCCAGGTATTGATCAAAAATATTGGCATAATATTTAAATCTGTTTGCCAACATCATAAATCATTCTCACTTCACAAGCAGGCGGGCAGTAAGGTATAGAAGCATGGAGGCTGTTCAGAGAACCCTTGCTGCATCCTCTGCTGACTTGCCACATGGCCTTTGGCATAGGAATGGCTCTGCTGCCAGCTGCCTCCTCCCAGGGAAAGGCCAGGAACCTGTGATTCCAGGGGCTGCCAAACCCTCTGTGTTGGAATTCTCTAAAAGTGATATTGCATCCGTTTAGCTAATGATCACCATTTGAGCATACATCTTGAATGCATCCATCTAGAACCTTCAAAATCAATCTACTATTGTGTGATGAATGTGTGTGGAGGGTGGGAAAATCCTCCAAGGGAGATATATAGCATTGCCCGGAATGAGATGCAGAAACCCATTATAAACCCATGCTCTGCTCATCTGTAACTTCATCCTCTTTTTCCATTCCCAAATTCGCATTTATTCTTGATGTAAATGACTTGAGCAAATCAACAGTCTAATCCTCCCGGCACCACAGAGTCATATAATTTTTAAAGTCAATATTGCACACTCAAAAGACTTTAAAATAAATTGTTCTGTTGTAGTTACATCAAGATACATAAAATTCCTAGTTTTAAAAGCATTTTATACTCAAACTAATAAGTCAATCTTGGGGAAGGATGGAATCAAATAATGATACTACAACTGGGGAGGGCAGGACAGAAGAGGTCAGAGGATGTTCAACAAGGGCCCCAAAGCACAGAGTGGAGGGGTTACTGCTGGGATTTCTTTAGCACATTAGGGAAACTATAGGTTAAAACAATCTGTGAGGCATTTGAAAATGACTAGAAGAGTATAAAATTCCCAGCACATAAAAGTGATTAATGTTTGAAGAGACAGAAATGCTTATTATCCTGATTTGATTATTGTACATTGTATACATGTATTGGATTACCATAATGTACCCCATAAAGATGTATAAATATTATGTTCCTATAAAAAAGTGGTTTTTTTCTTGCTAAAATTTTCATACTTAGATTGGAGGAGGTTAAGGACACATGACAAATAGATGCAGTATGATCTCAGATTAGATCTTGGAAGAAAAAAGGAAAAATAAGAAGACATTGGTGGGCAATTGAAATTTTACCACAGTTCTGTAGACTCACTAATAATACTTTATTAATGTTCTTTTCCTGATATTGAGAATTGTGCTATTATCATGTGATATTTGAACACACGAGAAAGCAGGATAAAGGGTTTATGAGACACTCATTGAGCTATTTCTGCAACTTGTTTTTATAAATCTGAAATTATTGCAAAGTAAAGAGATAAAGATATTCCACAATTCTTATTTTTTATTTTCATGTTCATCTTCCACTTGGCTACTTTCAAGATTTTAACCATAAATACTGACTTCTGATCATAATTTACTGGACCTTATGGAATCACAGACTATTAAACTAGACTGGATTATCAGGTTATTGGAAGAGGAAGAATGAAAAAGCAGAATTGAATGATTAAGGTGGCCCTCTGTAGCCGATGCTGCCAGCTTCCTCCGGGTTTCCACTTGACTTCTTTCTTACCATCTCAACCCTGATCATATGCAGGGCTGCAGTGTGCCCGTCCTCTGTAATGAGTCATCATAGTCTCTGATTTCTCCATCTCCCTTGCAGTTGTGGTGAGCCCTGTGAGTTCTGGTCCATAAAGTACAATAGGAGCATGCCGCAAGCATTTCTAGAAGACTTTGCCTTCCTGATAAAGGAGACAAACACATTTGATGCCTTTTTTCTCCCCACTTTTGACATACTCAGAATACCACTATGGTGTATGGAATTCTGGCAGCCAATTTGTGACCTTGAGGCAGAACTCAACACATCTGCAGCACTGAGGGGAAGCCAGCTGGTACCTATCCACCTGAAGACTGTTAGATATGGGAAGAATTTGAACTTTTAAAAGGTGAAGGTGTTACGGTTTTCCATTACTTGAGGCTAACAACACTTCCAATTTTTCCTGAAGTTTAGTATGAGTGATTGTATTTCATTCTAGTAGACATTATTATCATCGTTCCATTATACAGATTGGGAAACTGAGACTTATGGAGATTTGCTTACTTTCCCAGACGCAGGCAGAAATGAGTCAATCTGTAATTGGTTCCTTAGTGTGCCTGGTTCTTAACCCCTACCCTTTCTATTGCACTTCACTTCCTCTGTGAGGTGATTCACACCAGCACGTCACAGGTAGGATGCTAGGTTAGGAAACTTATTCAGAGTTACCAAGTAGACAGGAATGTATCAAGACAAGCCTTCAGCTTCATTTCTGTGTAGCTGGGCAAGTCAGGATTTTAAAGGAATTTCTTCGTCTGTAGTACAGCTTCATCATCCCACACTCCCCAAAATGTCAGAACTTCTTCCCTGTGATTCATAGTAGAGGCTTCTGAGCCACTAAAGCCAAGTGACCAGCCTAAAGGCCACAGTGTGTCCTCTGTGGACCTGAGTAGGGAAATCAGCTTCTCCTCACCTGGCCAGTCTGCTTTAATGCATGCCATTACCTTCTGATCCTTGGGAGCTTCTCCCAAAACAGGGTCTCTTGTTGATGCTTTCACCCTTTACTGCTCTGATAAAAGTAGTCTTGTCTGCCCTGAAATGAAAATCAAAACAGTGGAAGAAGACAGTTCCGTATATTTTTAGTTGGACATTAATTTGCATTTTCTTTTTAGCCAGAAAAATATTTATTGCCAAGCACACACCCTCATTTGTTGTGTCACTTCACTCAACACATCCTAATTGAGTCCTTGGTACCATGAGAATGTGTGTAGGAATCCTGGGATTTATAGCAAAGCTGGGGAGAAGACAAAATGTTGGGATGCTATGAATAGGAGAAGTGCCAGCTGGTATTTGGACATCTGGTCAGCAGGCCAGACCTGCTTCTCTAGGGATGGTGCTATACAGTGAAAGTCAATACTGACTAAGAGGAATGTTCTTCAGCCGGAGCCTCCCTGCTTCCAAATCACAGTGATCTAGACTAACAGGAGGTCGAAAGATCAACTCATTTATTTTATTCATTTTTTAGAAAAAAAGAGATACTATCTATGAACATACTAAGAGTTTCAGGTAACTGATAAATTTTGCACAAAAGTTATAGGAGTGATATTAGCCCCCATGTTCTATAATTCTAATTGTAGCAGCTTCAACTTCTGTTCCACTGAATAGCAGAGTCTAGTTAAGCCTAAGGCAGATGTTAAATACATAGGTTTATAAGTGGTAGCGTATTTCTGGAGGCTGGACTGCAGGATAATTGATGTTTCACAGAGAAAGAGGTTGGAGATTTATAAGGTTTTGAATCATTGTCCAACATTTTTGAAAATTCTGCTACCTCGGTGAGGGAACAAACAGAATCACATCTTGCCAGAGAATGGAAAACAAAGAGTTAAACCAAAAGGCTTTCTGTACTGGAGACATGGTTGGAAAGGCATGCCTTTGGAGTCAGATACTTTTAAATTATACCCCCCTGGCTCTGCCACATTAGCTGTGTCAACTTGGGCCAGTTACTTAGATCTCTAAATCTATTAAAGTGAGAGGAATAATACACTCTTCATAGTGTGATTGCAAGAATTTTTAAAAATATTGGCATAGATTACATATAGCACAGTCCTGGCCAAACTTAATCAATTATTAGAATTAGTGGAGGCAAGAGCTCATTCTCCCCAATCTTTTATTAATGCTCCCAAACCACCCTTCACTATTCCCCTTCTTATTTATCTATCAGTTCTATCTCTATTTAGCACCACTTAAGTTCTCCAAAGACTTCAATAGTGACCCAAAACTATGAAAATCATGTGGCTGTACTTTTCAAGGTGAAAATGCCTGACATTTAAACAGAAAGGACATGCCAGACTAATAAAAGAAGAAATGTTCCTTTGCTTGCTTACATCTACACAGATCCACCCAAACTTATTGAGTTGGACTTTACTTTAAACATTCTACTTTAAAAACATTCTTCCAAAATGCAGATAATTTGCAAATAAAGAAAGAAATCATCAGTGGTCTAGAATGGAATTATCTTTTTTTTCCCATTTGATTGTTCTTTTTTATTATATAGGAGGGCGAGCGCATGTAAACACATGCATGACAGGGTTTTATAATAAACTCTGCTTTGAAAAAAAAAGAGATGCATAAGGAAGAAGATATTTACTGGGTGTCTTGTTAATGTAAGGGAATGGACAGAAGAACACAGTAATAGGGAGGTTTGCCAAAATATAAACACCTGCTCTGGTCTTGTGTTACTTGATTCTTTTCCTTATTCTTTACATGTGAATTCTGTTTGCATATATTCTATTATTTTTATTACTACTCTAGCAAACTATAATATATTTGGTGATTAAAGAAACATAAGTCCATTCTCTGATAGATCTGCAGATCAGACATCTACGTTGAGGTGTGGACAAGCCTGGGTTTCTCCTGAGGTTTGGAGAAGAGAATTCATTTCCTTGATTTTTGTTTGTTTGCATGTTTTGTTGTTGTTTTCAATGTCTAGAGACCACTTACATTCTTATTTCCTGGCCCCTTCCTTGCTTTGTCATTATACCCCTGCTACTGAATGTGACCTCCTTGCCCACCTCTTATGATGACCCTGTTGATTATTATTGGGATCATGAGGATAATGCTTAATAATTTCTCCTTCTCAATATTCTTAACTTGACCTGTATATTTAGTTTTACTATGTAAAAAAAATATTCACAGGCCCCAGAGATTAGGACACGTATATCTCTGGGGAACCATTATTCAGCCTACCAATATATATTGACCTAAATGAGGTATTTATTTTATTTTCCTTTGCTCCTCCCCCATCAGGTCCTGTTTCCAATTCACCTGGCTATTGCCCTGGGATTGAAAATATGTTTCCATCTTTGTAAACTTCACCTCTGAGATTGCTGTCTGTATCATAATGTGGAAGCCAGATGTCTGTCCTATGCTGATAAGTTTAACCAGTCCGTTATTTTTCCAGGGGTATACTATTATAATGGAATTGGATTCTAGGGAGAATTTTTACATAATCTCAAAAGTAAAAGAAAATAATTTAACAATAAGTGCCAACTAATTACTAAGTAATGAAAGCCCTGCCATCTCTGATTCTCACTTTTGAATTTGGAGGTGAAGGGGGCACACCTGTGGTTGTTGTCCATGGTCCTGAACTCTCCCGACACTAGGGTTCAGTTGTTTCTTTTGACCCTGTGACACAAGAGACTTCTGTCCAGTTTCTTTCTCTCCAAGAAATTCTGAAATAGATGAGGAGAGAAGTAACTAGGGCTTTGAAAGGTGATCAGTGACAAAGTATAAAATGGACAGAGTGTTGGCCAGGTATAGCCCTTACAGATTGCAAGGGAGAAAATAGAAATACATTTTGACATAATTTTTATTTTTTAAAAATGCCACATTTGACCATGGCATAAATATCAAATAACTAAGAGGGAGCACAACAAGTGTGCATTGAACAATGCTAAGGGTCTATGTGTTGACCTAAACACGTATTGAGTGAGAAAGAGAAGAAAAATGATTAAAGGATCATTACAAGTTAAATAGCACAAAACTATTTAGAGTTTTCAATTTTTGGTTTGTAACCCATTGTATAATATTACATTGTATAATCAATTCACTTTATATTCCATGTCATGCAGTTCGAGACTTGTATGGAGTTTCTGAAACTACTGTCTACTTCTGTCCTCAACGCAGGCACACACACACACACACACACACACACACGCAAATACTATCAACACATATCATGGGAGGATGGTGGGGAATGTACTTTCATGACCTTCTTCCCACTCTCCATCTCACTCCATCAAACACAAATGATACTTTTGATTCTTGACCTTATCTGTGATATTCATTACATTTCAGTTCTTTTTCTTGAAAAATCTCCATTATTCATGGGTGGGACCAAATGAAAATAGTAGTTGATTTTAGTGGAAGTTACTGTTCACATTATTTGGTAAGAAAAACTACAGATTTCACAAAACCAGTACTTTACACATTTGTTTCAGCTAATTCAAAATTTTAGTGACACAGGACCAGAATATGGGCCAGGCATGTCGGCTGCAGATACTTTCTGATAATTAAAAACAACAGTTGTGGTTGTTTTACATGTTGACAAGTCCAGCCAAGCAACTTTATCATCAACTGAATTATCAAAGTATCCTGATTGGTCTCCCACACTCCATTCTTAATAGATCTTTTCTGGGATACACCAGAGATTCTGGACATAATAGGTGCAATAACAGCTGAGTTTTCCAACTTTTCACGTGAAAGTTAGTGAGTTTTTAACAAGGAAGACTTAAAACAAATTTCATTTTTTGTTATTTCTCAAGGTACCTGCAACATGTCATGAGTTCCCTTAGTGCAACATGTGAGCCAAAGTTTTGTTCTCTTATTTAAAAATAATAGTAGTAATAATAAACCTGGGCAATAAATAAATCTGAGCAAGAATCCAGAGCCCTTTGTTAAGTAAATTATGACCAAAAGAAAGTCAGGGTAATGGCCCGCCAGCACTTGGATTAATAAACTGTGAATACACGGCTTTCACTTGCAGAATTAGCATCACCCAGACATGTATGGGGGGTTTTATCCTAATTGCTGTTACCCCCCAAATCCCATTTTGCTCAGGGCACACCTCTGTTTTATAGCTATTTAATAAAGAAGACTATGGTTACAAGTCCATGTTTCCATGGAAACAACCAATTATAAGTGCAATCTGAAGAGATGGAAGACAGCTGCCAAAACTCAGAGAAAAAAAAATGATCTGAGTTGGCAACCTATTAGAAACATTGCCTGCTAAAGGCTTTTGCCAGTTTCCCCAGTGCTGGCCTGCAAGTTTATATCTGAACAAACATCTTGCACCCATTTGCTAAGCTCTGCATCTGTAATGCATTCTAAAGGGATAATTGTGTCTGGGGCTCAACATATGTGATGGGGAGGCAGGAAAATATTCTCACATTTTTCGTGTAATTTCTCTCATATGTTTCTTATAATTTCATGGCACCGACATCAACATAAGGAAAGAACCTTACGTGAGCTAGTTCTTTTCAGAAGTATATTTCATAAGACTTATTTTAAATATTCCATGTTCATTGTTAATACATGACAATGTAGTATGTGAATGTTTATGAAGATAATAATTACGGAACTTAAATATGTCAGACATCAATTTGGAGTTTTAGTGTTTAACCTGTGTCTACGTCTGGCACTCTGCACATGTACCTTAATATCTCCCTTCCAATCCCTCTGTATATTATTGTACCTTGTTTTCAAGAAGCTTGATATGCCAACATAATGCATTTTTCAAAACAAATGAATTGAACTGAAGATAACTCACATTAAAACACATTCCACATCTGTGATTCCATTAATCTTATTAACAATGTAGTGAGGAAGAATATTTTCTGTTTTATGTATCAAGAAGTGGAGAAATACAAAGGTTAGGGACTGGATGAAGTCACAGTGTGGTTAGTTATGGACATATGGACAAATCCCCACCTTGCACCTCTGGACCTAGGCTTCTTTTTACTCTACAATATGGCTTCTCTACTAGCTTAAAATCAAATGCGCTTTGTTATCAACTTTATTGTATCAAATAATGTGGCTCTTGAATCTTAACTCCATAAAGTGCCTATGATGGAGACTCAATTGCTAAAATATGGATAACATATTCCCTTTTGCCTACTTGTGTCTTTCTTTTATTTGTAGTTTTGATTGGAAGGTAAAAGAGTGAAATAGATAATGCTGAAAATCCTGTTCAGTTAGCATGAAATAGTAAGCAGCCATGATGCTCAAAATTGTTAGGAGATTGTCAGACTTAAAATTACTATACACGTGTCACAGTTCTGAACAGTGAAAGAGAAGTTGAGTCAAACTTTAAAAGCCTGATGCATAGAATTTCTGGCTCTTAGGAGACACTGAAGAAATTCTCTTTTAAGGAAATTGGTTATATGTAGTCTGCAAGCTCAGACTCTGGTTTTTAGAAAGGCAAATTCCAACTCCAAGGTCTAATAACTTTTTTTCTTACATTGACATGGTTCTCATGTGTGCAGGATAATTACATTAAATCTAGATCACTAATTTGTCTCCTTTCTGGCCATGTTATGAAAATGGGAAATAAATCACATGGTCCAACTTCCCCACATGAACACCAGCAAGGAATGGAATCAAATAAACCCCATGAGAATATCTGTGTATTCCCAAATTTCAGTGTTTTACAAAACACATATTTTTAGAAAATTATGTGTTTAGGTTAAAATTTTATTCAAAGTTAGTCACAATTCACTAGAGCAATCAACAAACACATTTTCTCTATTTTATACCTCAATTAATATGAATGCATTATGGTTGAAGTAAATCAATGGGCATTTAGGATACTTCAAAAATTTAGTTATCCTTTCTCTCTAATAAAATATACTTGTAAAGTCCCATTGTATTTTTTCCCACCTTTTGAAGCCTTCCATACTCTGTCCAAGCCTTCAACCTTATTTCTACACAAAGATATGTCTCCATTTTTACTCTTCTGAAAGAATGGACTCTAACCTGTCTCAAACTCTCAACTTCTCAACATCTCTGTTCTGGGTGCTTCCTTCTACTCATTTTGGCTCAGTAGTTCTTGATCTGGGGTGCACATTAAAATCAAAACTTGGAGAGCTTTGAAAATATGCTGTGACTTTGCCCATCCTAGATTAGTTAATAATGTGAGTTGAGAACCACTGACCTAATCTTTTCTCCTTAGAAAAATTCAAATTCCGGGCTTCCTGGGTAGTTAAGATAATATACCCTCCCTTCTCAAGGACACTAGTTAGGGTTGGATACAAGTAGTGCCTAAAAGCTCCTGTGTTGATGCAGGAATATTCTGATGTGAAATGAGTAGATTATTAGGGGTTGTAAAGAAATCAGTGGGTTAATCCATTTGATGTATTAATAATTGAATGGAATAATTGGGTGGTAACTGGAGGAAGGTGGGGCATGGCTGGAGGGAAGTACATCACTGGGGGTGTGCCTTTGGGGTTGATATGTTGTCCCTGACACCTCCCCCTACCCTCTCTTTTTTGGCCTTCTTCTCAAAATAAAAAACAGGTTTCTTCCTACTAATGTACATGATCTGAAATTCATGGTTACAATTGCATTTATTGTTATTTTTCTTAGTGGGTAAAACCATTCTTTTTTGATAATTGTCAAAGCAGTCAATGACATACATGTTTATGGTGGGTCCTTGTTACCGTATCCTCAGCAGAGTGGAGAATCTATGTTATTGTAAATGGAAAAGGGAGGCTTAGGAACTGCCACTGCTGTGGTTCTTAATTTTGTTGGTTCATATGCCTTCTCCATCTTAAAGAAAACTTTATCATAGACCACTTTAAAAGAAAAAGTGCTTTGTATCTCTGAGATCAAATTTTACATGGATCCATATAAATTTTAACATCTTTTATTTTTATTTTTTTTTTAATGTGGTGCCGAGCACCAAACCCAGGGCCTCACACATGCAAGGCAAGTGTTCTACTACTGAGCTACAGTCCCAGCCCAGGATTAACATAATTTTGAATACATTGTTTAGCATGTTAAAGTCTTTTAGATACAGTCAGCAAATTAATAGCAATAAAGTAATTTTAAACCATAGACAGCTGCACAGTGTTTTTCAAAACTGCTTTAGCTTTTGATTTGTAGCTTTTGCCCAAAAATCATCATGGAAAAACTATTTATTCCATAGAAGAACTCAGTGAGCATTCTACTACTTCAGAAAGCAATTTTATTTTAAAGATAGTACCATTTTCTCTTGGAACACTTGTTTCTTCAATAAAGATTTCCGAAATTTCCATTCATTGCTTTTCTCTCCAAAATCTAATCAAGTTGTATTTGTCAAAAAAGAATTTGAAAATTAATTGCTATATCACATGGATATTGAATAAATTAAATGACTTATGATTGGCCAGATATCCTTCAAAACATGAAGGAGTAAGGGCAGCTTGATTTGCAAAGGGGATTAGGGAAAGGAAGAAACTCAGCTAAAATTTCTATTGCTGTGTCTGCATTTGTTTGTTGACAATAAAGCAAATGTCGCTTGGTTTCACTCAGTAAAGAGTAAGATGAATGGTAAATATTCAGTAAAGAATCACTCATCTGGAGTAAAAAACTGAAAGTTGGCTACAGTACTTTTTACATTTATTGAACTGAAGGAAGTTATATTTGTGTTATTAGGAGGATCCTTGAGTATCATTCAGAAAGATATGCATATATA